TCTTTTGTATTGCTTACAAAAATAAATGAATAAAAAATATTTTTATCACCCACAAAAATAGTTAGGCATAAATGTTAGGGTTAATATCACGAAAAACTCCAAACTGGTACACCTATGATAAATTTACCATAAACTAATTTTTTGTCCACCAAAAACTCCAAACTAGTACACCAGTGACAATTTCACCCTCCATTAGTTTCCGTTAAATTTTACTGTCAAATTTTTGAGTTGGATGACACGTGACAGTTGACGGGTATACCAGTTTGGGGTTTTACCATACGTTTGTCACATGTGTACAAGTTTGTAGTTTTTCGTGGTATTAATTCAATTTAACGGAAGGTAAATTTGTCACAAGTGGACCAGTTTGGGGTTTTTGGTAGTAAAAAAATTAGTTTAGGGTAAATTTATCACGGGTGTACCAGTTTGAGATTTTTCGTGGTATTAAACGTAAATGTTATCGACAATGAAAATATTTTTCATTGATTATTTTTCGAAGCAATGTAATTAATCATCTTTCGAAAAATATTTTCCAAACCTAATTTCGTGAAACAAATGCACCATAAATTGATATTCCAAACCTTTTTGGGTGAAAATTGAAAGTCTGTAGGTGTAATTCCTTTTTCTTTTCTCAAAGTGCGAGCTTAGAGCCCATTAAATTAATTAAGCAAAGTAATAGGTGAACGAGGCATCAAAGGGTTAACTAGCGAAAGATGGTTCGTTCCACGGCTCGTCCATTGCAAGGACATCATTTAACACATAAGAGATCGTTCTAACAACGCAACAATGTTTCCCATAATCTTATTTGGGAAGATGACATCATGAGATTTAAAGTTATGACACTAAAGTGAACGTGTTTTAGAAGTTAAGACACTTAAGTGGTCGAAAAAAAAGATATGGCAATCAAGTGAGCGACGTACGAAAAATTATGGCACTTGTGGTGATCTTATCCCAATCTTATTCTTTGCCTCACCATACTTTATCGGAAGATTAATCGAGACATTTCATTCAATGTATTACTATTCATGCGTTTCAATTCCCTAACCAAACATGTTAATGAGCTGATCATCCCATTTCTAGATTAGAATTGGGAAAGATCATTTTGAATTTCAATTCTCACCCTATGCAACATTAGGGACTGCACACCCATCCCCAATGGCTCCTTCAGGTTCTTCCCCTTGTTTACTGATTTCAATATAGATGGCCTAAAGCTCCCCATCACGGTCCCCAAAAGTGTCAACAATCTCTAACTCTACGGGTTTGTTTGTTTTGCGAAAAATATACCATTTATAGGAAATATTTTCTAGGAAGTCATTTTTCAGAAAAAATGACTTTATTTTCTAGTTTTTGGCTGAAACCTGAAAATCAATTAGAAAATATTTTTCATTATTTGGTGTGAAGAATATGATTTGATTTTCCAGAAGAAAATTACTAAAAAATTCGAATTTTTAAAATTATTCTTTTTCTTTTTCTTTTTCTTTTTTCCTTACTTGCTCTCAATTGCTTCTTTGCTTCCTTGCCACTATCCTTGTCTCCTTTCCTCTGGCGGCTATGGCCACTAGCGAGCTCGAGCTCACCGGCCTTGGGCAAGCGGCGAGCTCCGGCTCGCTTGGATCTGCCGAGCCTCGAGCTCGCCAACCTTGACGAAGCTTGGGCTGGCAAGCTCTAGCTTGCTTGGATCTGATGAGCCGCGAGTTCACCTGCCTCAGCGAAGCTCGGGCTCGCCTGGATCGGTCGAGTCTCGAGCTCGCCTGCTCGCGTCTTGGTTAGTTACCTAGCTGCAGGTTGTTGCCGAGGCATGCAGCTGACTGAGGAAGAAGGAGGAAGCAAAAGGAAGAAAGAGGAAAGAAAAAAGAAAAAGAAAGAAGAGAAAAGAAAAGAAAAGACAAATTAAAAATAAAAAAAAGTTAAATTTTAAAAAATTAAAACTAACTAAAAATAAAAAAATTATAGGAATAAATGTTCTATTAACCAAGGACCGGAACCTAATTGCCGAGGACCCGCACACGGTCTTTATGGACCCAGGCCTACAGGTTGGGATTAGAGCTCGAGCGTCGGGACCGAGCACGGCGTTCATGGACCTAAGTTCGAGTGCCAGAGCATCGGGTACGGGTACTAGGGGTTTGGGCCCGGCCTTGATGGCCCCGGATGTGGGCGTCAGGGGCCTAGGCCGAAGCATCGTGGTCCTGGGCTCGACCTCGATGGACTGAGGTCTAGCCGCCGGAAACTTAGTCCTGAATGCCGAGACCCGAGAACTAACGTTGGGATTTTTGTGCCTAAGCGTAGAATTTCGTGTCCAAATACCGATACCTAGTCATATTTTGGAAAACGTTTTCCGGTTCTTTTAAAGAGAAAATAATTTTCTTGAATCTAAGTTTTGATAGAAAAACCTTTTCCATTAATTCATTTTCTTGAGCGAACTAAACGCTGGAAAATGAAGAAAATGTTTTCTCGGAAAATGTTTTTCGTGAAACAAACGGACCCTACGTGTCCGTCCCTAAAAGTTGTCTCGATGGATGTAGCCAATCCAAATTACAAAATAGACTCTCTTTTCTATGTTTGAATTGTCATCCAACAAAGCCAATTTGTTTTTGTACCATACCTTAAACAAAACGAAGAGATTGATTTTCACAATGAAATAATAAAGCATAATTTGATCATATTCTCTAACTTCGTTTCATCATGATCTAATTATTTTTTTCGTCTTACTATGTAAAACGAAGAGAAAGGCGATATCCAAGTGGATCCATATATTAGTTCTCAAACTAGTAAGCCAAAAATTAATCAGAAATACCAAGAAAAACCCCAACAGAAAGGAAGAAGACGTGAATACAAGAGGGTGAAATTGTCATCCTGTTTAGTAAAATAGGAATATTACTACTCATGATATTGTCTTTTAATTCCTTTCCTTTCTACTCCACATATCCAACTTGGGTTTCTTCTTAATAAGATCAAACCCTCACGTGTGAGTACACTGCAACTGGACCAGCTCTCCCTTAACCAAAAGCAAGATACTCTTTTGCATCGACACATCTTAACCATAATCTCCAGTTATCTTCAAGCTATGGTAACAGACTTCCATGCTCTCTCCCACATCGGATCGAAATGCACGTCGATGGCAAACCGTGACGATCCATTCTTCAAATATCGATTTACAGTGGCAGCAATTCTCTTCAAACGCCATCTGTGATACCAACTTCTCGTGGAAAGGGGAAGCGCCAAAAAGGGTCCAATACTCAAAAACTTGACTGAAATCGGATGTCAATTGCTCCTTCTGATTCCAAATGCCAGATTTTTCTTTTGTGTTCACACGTGCACTCAGATTGATGTATTGCCAAAGAAAGAGGGGGTTATGCTCTACATTGAGAGTACATGGTTCGATCGTAGTACATAGATCCGATGCATTGTGAACCGTGTAAAAAGCATTGCAAAGAGAGCCATCCCATCGCCTGCATTGAGTACACGCCACGAAAAGAACCATTCATAAGGAAACAAGAAACCCAACGGACGATGCAAATTCACATGCTTAATTCCCAGATTTCTCGCCTAATACTCAGGCTCAACAAACTTGTTGAACTTTATTGAAAGACTAGATACTCGAAAGTCAAAAGCAACAGACATCTCAGCTGGCTTTCTTGATTTCTCCCATCCTTCGTGGCATTAAGATTACAGTGACTTGAACAAGAATGCGAGAGAAGAAGAGGAATGTCAAAAGAACTTGACTGCAGAGATCCCCTTATTTATCAATTATTTTATCATTTGACTTGGTCAGATTTCCATAGAAAACTTCAAATTCGTATTTTTCTTTTCTGGGCCGGTGGGCGTGGTACGACTTGGAAAACTCAACAGAGTACAGACTCGTTCAAAGGGGATTTAGGGTTTATATCCAAACAAATATTTATTTGCCAGTTGTAAACTATCGCCGCACGAATTCAGTCTCCCTTGTGATTAGTCATAATCCTTTGCTTCCGATGCCCTTGTCTTAGCAATATATGGTTTCTAGTTTTTATCTGGGTACATGGCCTTTTTTTTTTGGTATTTTTTTTCTTTATGATGAGAAAACTCGTTTTAGATGGGTAAATTCTAAACTTCTTAACTGTCTGGACCGGACAAGGTGCGAGCAAAATTTGAATTGGATGCTCAAACGTGGGATTATTTGTACTTACTGTGGAGAATCCAACTCCATGTCATGTTCTTTTCTTTTCAATTTTAGGGTAAATGGGAAAAGGAAGTAAAGTAGAAAGTGAATTTAATAAGTCGAAAAGAGGTAAATCGAAATATATAGGTGAGGTCATATGCGTGGATAAAAATTTAAATATGCGACCATATTGACGGGTAAAGACCCAAAAGAATTGCTCAAGTTGGAGACCATTAAGGTGGTTCAATGCTCAAATATCAAATCACAAACTCTTTCTCATCAGACGTGAGATTGGAGAGTTATAGAACACGAGCAGACTGAATGTCGATATCGTTAATCTTATCTAATCTAATTTCGATATTGAAGCAAAACCAAGAGAGAACTTGTCTATTAGTTAGCCAAATGAGCTTTGTGCAATTGTATCAAAACATAAGCTCTTATACCCTTCTCTTAAATACAACTACTAGAAAGAGGTCTTCTTGCCTTTCTTGAATAGGTGTACTGTTGGTCAACCAGAGGAAGCTGCTGGCCCAGGAAAAGATATGTCGTGAGGTTAAATTGAATTCAACCTCAGTAAAACTTGGACTCTTGCACTCAATAAGTCCAGAGAGACTGTTGAGATGTTCTAAAGCCAAAAAAAAAAAAAAAGAAAAGAAAAGAAAAGAAAAAGATAATGAGAAAGTGAATCAAAACAGAACAGATGAGAGACAACCAAGAAGAGATTCTAGAAGTACTAGAGAATGACAAGGAGAATTTGATTGCACTCCTGTTGCATATTTTAGAGCATAGTGTTGACATAAATGTTTGCTGCGATCAGTTCATGTTCATTATCTCATCATAGCGGCGAAATTGCACTGTTCGTATCTTAAGGAAAAAAACCCTTTCTTGCATTTGGAGCAACTGTAAACTCGATCAGATGAATGTACGTACAACCCAACCATCCTGGGTTGATTACACAAGTATGTGTTGAGAAGAAGAGCAAGAGCGAACCCAAAAAGAAAAAGGCATCAAGGGGAAAAAAGAAAGATGACAATTAACATCAAAATAAAACAAAATTAGTTCAGCATACGAACCACCTTATTTCCTCTCTGCATATTGGCTCATCTGATTTTCCTCATGGCCTCGATCGGTAGCTTTTCGTGGTTGAGAGGCTACAGTACACCGTGACTGAATCGACAGGGTCATCGTTGTGGCACGGAGATGAACCGGAAGGAGGGATAAAACCCTTGGGAAGCATGACCGAGAACGGCCTCGTCCTTAAATCATTGGTAGGCGCTTTCCGCTTCATAGCCTTCCTCTTCTTGTAGCGTCCTCTGTCCAGGAATGAAGGTTGGGGCCTGTTCTTGACGTGGAACTCCTGTAGTTGTTGCTGGCGAGCCGGTGTGGGCGCGCCCGAAGGGGCGGTCGACCATGGGGTTCCGCCGGAAAGAGAAGGGAAAGCGACGATCAAGAATAGGACCAACGAGACGAGGAAAGATGATGTGAAGTTCAACTTCTGTTGACCCATCGAAGGAGGATGTGGGGTTTCGGGTGGTGATGCATTGGGTTGGAGGAAACAAGAGAGTTGGAGATTGTGATCACTACTAGGGTTTCTATGGCACTGTTTAGAGAGAGAATCGCAGGGAGAGAGAGTTGTTTATTTGGATTGACCCGTTAATGAAGGGTCGTTGTTAGGGGTCTTTAGTGTACGTACTTGTGCTGCGAGGAGGGTGCAGTAACGCACGAACCATCCTCTCTTCTTGAAACTCTTGAAATAATGCATCGGATATCATATTAAACAATACATGCATCTTAACACTTTCTTTCTGGATTTGAACTAGGAAATGACGTTTGGACCAAAAAAATAAAAACCTAGGAAATGATGCAAAAGCGATGTGAATAACCCCCTCCGAAACAAGAGAAAATGACATAAATAATCCATATCCTTTCGACCGATGCAAAATGTCATCTTGAATTTTAAATTTATTTAATATGGTCCTTGAACTATTCTTAAATGTTAAATTTAGCTTCTTAAACTTTCAATTTGTTAAGTCTAGTCCCTTAACTTTTTATAAAAAGTCAAAAGTTTTCATTATTATACTAATGTCCGGATTTTAGAATATATTTTCAGTTCTTTTTACATTGTAGGCAAAACTTTTCCAACAATTGTTTGCAAAACTATACTACAGTTTTCCCTCGATAATTTTTTAATCTCGAAAAATTCCCACAAGTCGAAGTTTCTTCTTCTTAGCTGATTACTTAAATGGAGTAAATTATCATTCACACCGGCAATATCCTCCTGAATTGGAGTGCCGAGTGTGGAGAGTCGAAGAGTTTGCAATTTCCATATTCTAAGACATTCTTCTATTAAATAAGATTCTTTGTTGAATTTTCCAAAAAAGTTCAGAAAAAATAAATTGGCCAACGCCAATAACTAGCCATTTGTCGATGACCTTAACCGAAAAAAAATAGTACTAAAAAGAAAAAAGTCAAACAATATTTCGAAAATTATCATGGATATTACATCGTTCACCATCGTAGAGTCGAAAGGAAGTACAAGTATGACCCAAAATACCAAGAGTCAGACGAAATACAAATACAAGTGCAATAGAAGTCGGCCGTTGGACTTAGTCTCTTTGGGACCAAAAAAGTATAATGAGTGAATTACAAGGTCCAATATGTTTTTTTCCCTTGAATTGGCTTATTTGGTATCTACCACAGCGCCTCTTTTTTCGAGAAATAATAAAAAATGCCACATCGGCATTTTCTATCACTCAAATAGGAGGAAATAAACAGAGGTACTCGACTGTGACAATTTGATAAATTTGAGGACTTTATTGCACTACTTAAAAGTTTGAAAACATAATCGCGCTTTTGCAACAAATTTTAAGACTTCCGCTGTATTTATCCTTAAAAGAAAAGCTGCAAAAGGTGTATCACAACTAGACTTGATCAGCATGCCTGCTAAAAACTTCTAGGTCCAATAAGTGGGCGAGTCGAGCCTAGGCAAGGGCCTCGTGGTCTGCCACACCCATACATTTATTAAAATAATTAGAATTACATTTCATTAATGATTTTGCTTTGGCATTTAAAATTCATAAAATACTCATTATATAAATTAAGCCCAAATTTCTAAAGTAGCATGAAAATATTATATAACTCGAAAATAAAGTAATAAAATATAAACAACACAAATCCCTAAAATCTCTTTTCGTACTTATTTAAGTTTTTAGCTGAAATTTGAAAGAATAAAATGTAAAAAAGTGGCCCGATAGACAGGTTTGGGCACTTACCCCTATTCGTAAGTTTCGGCGTGGGCCCGTCTGGGCGGACGGGTTCAGGCTCAAGTAGGCCCGATCTAAGCCTGCTCAACGAAAATATACTAAGACTCCGTTCGTTTTGCGGAAAATAATTTTCTCCAACGTTCGGTTCATGAAAAATAAATGAGTCAAGGAAAATATTTTCCTTCAATGAAAAAACACATTCAAAAGTGGGGAAAATTATTTCCTCCTCTTTCTTTCACCCAGAGTTAGCACGTTTTCCTCCATGCACTCCTTTTAATTATTTTTTATTTATTTATTTTTTAAAAATTCGAATTTTTAATCTTTTAATTTTTTCTTTTTTTCCTTTTTTCTTCTTCTTCAATTGATCGCCGTCCACAGGTGAGCCCGAGTCTTGCCAACCTTTAACGAGCTCGAAGCTCGCCGATCTGGCGAGGCTCTAGCTCGCTTGCGTCCGATTGCCAGCTATCGCCGTGGCTGGTGACGGGCCGAAGAAGAAGGGAAAATAAATTTAAAATTAAAAATAAAAAATAGAAAAAGAAAAGAAAAATTAGGTAATAATTAAAATTAGAATTTTTTAAAAAATAAAAAAATAAAAAAATTATTAATATGAGTGTAAGGAGGAAAAGCAAATCCGATATTCCATATCAAACAACGAAAAATATTTTCCAGTTCATTTTCATCTTTCAGCCAAACACCAGAAATTATTGTTGTTTTCTTGAAAAATGACTTTTTGGAAAATATTTTCTAGAAACATCATATTTTTTGCGAAACGAACGGAGTGTTAGTTCTATGAGAAATTTTACCAAGTAAATTTATCCTCCAAACTTAAGACGACCCCGATCCTTGACCCTTTTGTCCTTCTCTTTTGCACATGGGACTTGCAGATATGAGTAAAAGAGCCCACAAATCTGCATGGTATGGTGAGAAAAGTAATAAATATGTGGACACAAAGTGAAAAAAGCAGTGAAAATATACGAAGATTGGAATCGTTTTGATAATGAGTATTTTTCTACAAGAAAAAGTAAGTCTCATGAATCGGTTAGGTCCAAACCTTGGATTTGTGTAGGTAGCTCTGATCTAGAGTAGTTTACATGCTCTAGTTCTTGAGCTAGACGATGCTCTCCATATTCACTATGTAGTTCAGTAATTCCTACCCCCTCCATCTTTCTAGAAACTTGCCAAGAGCCGCACATTATATCATCTCAGTCTCAGGCGATCGTTCCCCACACTTGACGGATTGGGTATGAGCCTAGTCTGTTCACAAACGACACAACTATTGGAGAGGAATTTGCTTCAATGCCATCTTTAATGATCCCAGCTATTTCACATGGGCTACACCCTAAAAGGAGCATTCTGAGTAATCACACGAGGTGACGATCATTTTTAGGTTGGTCTAGTACTCAATAGGGCATTTTTCATTGGATGTTCAATTTAGAGCATCTCAATCTCAGTTTCTATACACTTTTCTTACATAAACTAAAATCTTTCATATATTCAAGAGTTCTCAACCATACAAATTATAAACACCAGATTTAGAGATGAACCTATACTATAGAATGATTCTTGAGGTGAAAAAGAAAAACAAAAAGGAAAACAAGAGAGACCAAATAATATTAAAGAGAAAAACTAAGGAAAGCCAGAAAAGACATACAGCTTGGGGCTGGCCATGATAATTGCCCAGCCCATCAATTGAGAAAAGTAGGGCTACCCTCGTCTCCCTTGAGCTCCTCTTATAACCCCAATAGATTCAAAGGTGTGGCCCAATAGATGAATAACCCAATTTATCACTGCTCCTATTAGTCAGGCCCTACATGAACGAGTAAAGTGATCACTTGTCAATAAATATGGTGTTGCTGATAGGAGAAATCGCACTCTCATTGACATATGTTGAGCACAACTTCCTCTCTTTCTCTGAAGGGAGTCCTTAAAGAAAGACGGCTATGTACATACTAAACTGGCTTCCATTCCTTTGAAGGAAGTTCCTAAAACACCCAACTATGGACAGGAAGGATGTAACATCCTCAATTTCAGTCCCTGGGAAATGGCTATAGGTTAAGTATGGTGGTTTTCCCAATCGGAGCCAATTTTTACTCTTGTTCTGGAAAACCCAGTTTCGGGTCCTCTGTACCTCCTTGTTTTGTTATTTTTGTGGAGATTTTTGTGAACTGAATTTTAAAAAACTTTCTCATCAAAGTTGTTCCCAACATCTTAAAGTATAACATATTTTAAATTTAGATTTTTCTAAGATGATTTAGTATGTACGAAAGACCATTTTCTAAATAGATTTGAACTGTCCAGTGTTGCTGTTTCTGTAACCTTTACACCTTCTTGATTTTCCACGAGTTTTTCTAGAACGATTCTTAAAAAATTTCCTTGAGAAAAGTTGTTGAGAACTCATTTCTCTATAACATATACAAATTTGGGAATTTTTTGAGATGATTTGGGTTCTGAAAGAGCTTACTTTGAGAAGCAAGAATTCTATTCCAGCGAACTGTTTTAGTCTATCTTTGAGTTACTAAATTTGTGCTTAAAGAAAGATTCAGATTTCGTGTCCTACATGAGAAATGTTTATCCAAGTGTATTTTATAACATATCCAAATTTTAGAATTTTCGGAGTTCATCTACTATTTATTTTGAAGGAATTTCCGTTACTGTGCAAAACTGCCCAGATTTACCCAATTTCAAAGATGCACCATTTCTCACGTGAAACCTTGGGAATTTAGACTGAGATCTTCTGGTGATTTAATGTGCACATGCTGTTCTTTCAAATGAGATATGCTAAACTTTGATTGGAGGTCACACAAAGGGGGAAATGAGGCTTTACATGTGGTGGTAGAAGTTGAAATATGTTGTGACTTGTCTATTTATGCATTATTGCCAACTTCTTGAACAAGTTGGTCAATAATAGAGAAACCTTCCCCAATGATGGAGTTGTCTTAAATAAGCCAATAATTGTGGCCTCTAGGAAATGATTCACGCCCAAGGAAGAGGCAATGGACTAGAGGACATATCAGCAACTTCTTCAGGAAGTTATCTAATAATTGAAATATAGCAACAATAATTGACAACTTCTTTAGAAAGTAGTTTGACCAAGAAGACCATCAATATTAGGGATAGAAATCTGGTGGAAGACTTCAATAATTGAGTCTTGAGGACCAAGACTACCTCTCACGTTCACCTTGGAGGGTCTCGGCCAAAGAGAGGAAAGATAGAGGGCCAGTTGCAACTTGAAAACCAAGTTTTAGGATCTTAATTGCTCCTTTAGATCATCATGAACTCTAGATTGAGACTTAGAGCCCAAGCTAAGATTATGTGGCTAGAATTAAATCTTGCTCAAGAAGCCAAATTGATAGCTAAGACTTTCAAGGCCATTTCATCATGGTTTTTGGCTCTTCTTCATTAATAACCAAGATTTTCAA